GAGCATAGTTGATCCGGGACCGCCGATGGATGGAAAAGGCGACGTTTGGCCTTGGAACTGGCTGTTGATGGTCAGGTCAGCAGCGGGTAAGCGGTCGTTTTGCATGTCGGCGGAGGTGCGTGGAAAGGTGGTGTTGCCGCGCATCATGTTGTCCATGGCGGCAGTCGACATGTCGAACTGGAACTCTTTCCATGTCTCCGCCGTTGGGGTCGCCGAAATTCATCATGCTCAACCTGCGGGTGTCGGGGCTGCCCAGATTCAGTTGCTGCTGCTGATGTTGCGACGTCTGCCTCACAAAGACGGGCATGCTGCGGCGGCGGTTGTCCTTGTCGTTTTGGGCGACTATCGAGTCGAGCGACTGGCCCTCGACCATGTCGTAGTTGTTCATGCCGTCCCCGTTGATGTCCATCATCATGTTCCCATTGGGCGGCTGGGTGAAGGGCCGGGTGGGGTAGGGATAGCCGTTCATGATGGAATGGCTACCTGTCCTCGCCACAGGCGTTGTTGACAGTTGCGGTGGTCGTCTGGCCCCGGGTTGTGGGCATCAAAGGGTGTCGTCGGCGCCCGCGGGCGGTGCTGTGCGCTATCGCTTCGTCGGTCCGGAGGTGAGTGGCAGCGACGGCGGGGCGAACGACAGGCAGCATTCGCCGGCGACAACCAGCTCGACTGTTGTGGGCAGGTTGTGCTCTAGGTGGCAGTGGCAGTGGCAGCGGTCCCGTCTTCGCGTGTTCCGATGGGCGGGTTGCGCAGTGTGTGAGATGAGATGTGCAGCGCCAATGGAATGCGCTAGCTGCCAAGACAAAAGCCGGGTGCGGGATAGCTGCAGAAGATGACGGAAAGATGTCAGTGGCTTTCACACGAAACATTGGGGCAGCTGGCAAGCAGGGACCATCTATGGCAATTCAACAATGCCATGCTCTGCCCTATGACGATGTGGGACCCATGTTCGCAAAAACCCCGGAATGGGAGGCTCTTTCTCTGGCATGCATCATGCGATTCTGACGGCGATTGGGCATGCCGTGGCTGTCTGGGTACCTCCGAGTGAAAGCCCGAGGGCGTGTGGAGCGGCGCCCAAGTCCGAATGGCGGTGGTGTTCGATGGGGTACGATCAAAGGGGCTAGCGCCGATCTTGTCTTGGTATGTATCACGTGTGTATCGCTTGGCACGTAGCCTCGAGATTTTGGCCAGGACGGATCGACTGCACGCGGGCACCACAAGATGATATTAAGGAGCGTAGCAGCCCGCAGCTGTGAGTTTGTGCTCTACCGCCTGCCAATTGAAGCTGCTAACTCACCTGCCAGGCCCCCGCGCCCTCGCACGACATGCCCCGCTGCGACGATTTCTCTCCACCGAGACTGAGTCTATCCATGCTTCAGCCGAGAACAGCCTGAAGCAGCTGCAGTCGATAGAGGCCCAACTCAACACCCACCTCACCCAACCAGTGCCCTCGGTCGACCCTGAAACACACGGAACTCCCGCCGCAGCCACAGACAATGTCGCGGAACAGTACCGCATGTACAAGCAGCAGTCCAAGCAGATGGGCAAGCTTGGAACCGTCGTGCTGCCTCACTACCAACCCCACACCCTACTGAACCACCCCCCTTCGCCCGCCGACGTCACTCTCGAACTCCTCCTGGCCTCGGAAGCCCACCAGGGCCATGTGACCTCACTTTGGAATCCTGCAAATGCTCGCTATATTCACGGCATACGGCAGGGTGTGCACATCATCTCGCTCGAGGTGACGGCTGCCCACCTGCGCCGTGCTGCCAAGATCGTCCAGGAGGTCTCTAGGAGGGCAGGCATGATTCTGTTTGTGGGAACCCGCGATGGACAGGAAAGGGCCGTTGCGCGCGCCGCTGAGCTGGCCAAGGGTTACCATCTGTTCGAGCGCTGGATACCGGGAAGCATCACCAACGGACAGCAAATCCTGGGCAAGTGCAGGACAAAGGTGGTCAATGAGCTGGACGAGGAAGTTCCCGGCTTCGAAGAACAGCTCCTTGCAAGGCCAGTGCTGCGACCGGATCTTGTTGTCTGCATGAACCCACTCGAAAATTACGTTCTGCTCCATGAGTGTGCCCTCAACAACATCCCCACGATTGGCGTCATCGATACCAATGCGGACCCTACCTGGGTCACGTACCCCATTCCGGCCAACGATGACAGGTAAGCATACTTTCACATACATCACCGCCACTCTATCTGACACACCCCAGTCTCCGTTGTATCCAAGTCATTGCAGGTGTACTAGGTCGGGCTGGTGAAGCAGGCCAAAAGCAACGCCTCGCCGCTGCTGCCCAAGGCAAAATAACCTACCTTCCGGCCCAAGGTCTCACAAAAGTTGATGCAGACGTCGACGGTGCGGCACCAGACGCCGGCGTAATAACAAGCGACTCTACCTTGCGCATAGGCAACGCGGTGCCGAGAGAGCGCGTCGACGAGACAGCCGAAACGCTAGAGACGGGTCTTGAAAATGCCGATAAAATGGAAACCAAAATGGACGACGTGAACAACCACGAAAGTCACCGCACCAGGCAAGGCAGGGACATCAAAGTCACCTCCTAAGCAAGGCGCACGCTCGGATCCTTGTACGGTCCACCATGTACAAAAGCCCATTGTTTACACCACTACCAAATTCACACCTTGTTCCACCTTTGACTCGATTGTCGTCCATTTCCCCGATCCATCTGCATACTCCACCTGCCTCACCATGTTGTCCAAAACTCTCCCAACCACATTACACGCACTGGTCCCCACTAGATGAAACACAAAACAAGCTCCCTCTTTTTTTCAATAGCACATTTCCTTACTCCAGCAGACACTTGTTCCTGCATCAAGCAACGGACGAAGGAAGGCAAAAAGAACACAAGTCAGCAGCCAGGAAAAAGCAAAATAAAGACCCGGGCCCGCTCATTAGGGTCCCTGTTTAGTAAACACGAAACTTTACCACTCTTCTAGCACAGCCCATGTGCGAACATCAACGCGTGCTTACTGGGTAGAATGGCGCGGACTTGGTCGCCAGCGAGTCGGAGACAAGACCGCCCGGGGTTTATTCCTACGGAATGATCCGACTTTTTTTGGCGCTTGCTACTGACTAGCTGGCTGTGCTATTTTTGCTTGGTTGGGTGCTTGAGTAGTAGTGGTGGTGGCAGTGACTGT